GAGTGGACAGTGACCCATTTCCTACCATTGTTACTAGTAATATGATCAGCTTTGCTCCAGAGTTTCCAAGGAAAAAGATAGATACTGGGGACGAAAAATAGATGTAGGAAGTTCCAGTTAAGCCAAAACCAAATTTTTCCGGCAGTAAGGTAATAGCAGACTTGGAAATAAAGTTGAAAGAAGCCCAGATTGTTCTCATTAATCACGGCCGATGCCTAGACTGTTAAGGCCATGATAATAGAAGAAACCACCAATGTTCATGGGGTAAATTCTTATTCTTCCAGAAGAAGCATTCATGATCTGCTGATGGATGCACGGTCGATACATGACCGGCAAAAAGAAGTTACAATGATACGTTCAGGCCAGCACTTTTCTACTTTTAACAGAAGACCACAAATTCAATCTGAGGTTTGGGTACAAGACGGTGATGTTTCACACAAATTTCGAATAGTGAGACCACCTATTACTCTGCCTGGGAGATGGAAAAGATTACAACATCCAAAATTCCTGAAAGAAAGGCCTTCAGCCAAATATGGCCTCACTCGGACCCAGAAGAAGAGGCTACAGTGCAAAAGGGCTGAGGGGCGGAAGAAAGAGGAATCTCAGAATGGCTGTTTTCAATCAGCCGAGAACAGAAATAGGAAATCAAAACATCAACCAGAAGACATGGACATAGCCATTATCTTTAGTGATGAAGCTATACTCGAAGGGCAAGAGAAAGACACAAATGTGGAATCAAAGCATGCTCCCAAGTATAAATTTCGTTTTGGAAGTTTTCCTGATGAATTTATTTGCAATATGGCCTTTGTGTTACTAGTTGTATTTGAGGCTACTCCTCGTCAGCCAGTGACTTTAGAAGAAGGCTTTAAGATGGAAGAGTCACCTAAAGCCACTAATGAAGACACAATAGTGGTTAAAATGGCGGCCGAGAAGGTAGACCCAGTTAAGAAGCGATAGACTCCAACAGAAAGGACTTACGTTGCTGATAAAGTGGTACTTAGAAAACCACCTTTAGCCATGACCCAACAACTAAGGCCATTATATGAAAAAGTTTGGGTGGAAGGACAACCAGTCAAAAGGGTGCTGGAATATAACAAATCGGTCATTAACATTATTCCTGTCATAACCTTGAGGTTATTATACCGAACTTGGATCCACTTAATTTTTTTTATATTTTTTCTATTCTTCATCAATTATCAATGTTTTTTATGGAGATGAATTTAAGTTTGTGGAAAGAATTACATCTGCATCCGGTGGAAAGTCTTACATGGCCGATGCAATTCTCTATGATGTGAATCATATGCCTACTAGGTTCATAGGCATGGAAGAAATAGGGCAACCAATATTGACCATTATGGAAATAATTTTGGCTGGTGTTGGTTTCAACAAGTTACTTAAAAGAATCTCACTGCCGATTATAGATCTTCCACGGCCAGTTGTTAAAATCCACACAGTTGGTGATGGAGAAAGAGCCCAATAAAGAATCAAGGAGGGAGCAGGCCTTCTGGGCCGCTTCCATTAAGTTAAAAGATTACTCGGCTGAGAAACAATCGGCCATCAGAGAAATTTATTGCAAATGTTTTCGGCTAACATGGCTGAAATTATTAAAGAAAATGCAAATCCAAAGACTTTGTATGAATTGCTGTCAAAATATTCATGGGCATACAAAAATTCAAGAAGATCAGGCACCAGAATAATTCCATACCAGAATAATGCCGTTCTTCCAGTAGAGATGGCAGTTAGATCGGCTAAAATGACGTTACATAACAACTTGATTCCGGTCGATCACGATCATGCCTTGTTAACGGTGTTGGAAAACTTTAATGGTGAAGTCCATTTTGGGTCTATAGATGGCAGAAACCTTGAAGGGTATCAGCCAATGTTTTGAGAAGTTATGGAAGAATGTGATCGGCTAAGGCAGCAGGCTGACATGAAATAATACCATCTTCGTGGTGATTCAAAATAAAGGAAGTTGATATCATTTTGGAGTTCGTTTGCCATTTTATTCCAACTATTAGTTTAGCTATGGTTATGAAAAATCCTTTCCTTATCTATTAAATTTCAAAAAATCTTATCGGCTTGGGCAGCCGTAAGACGTTTGAAATTTGGGGGGTATAATGTTGACACACAAAAATGGCAGCCAAAGTGGCAGCCACTTTGGCATCCACGTGGACAAATGAGGGAAAGACAAGTGGACCAAATTCATGGTCAAACAATAGATTGACACGTGGGCTTCATTAAAGGGAAATAAAATTCCAATACTTGTGTGGTCCGGCAGATAACAAATGTGTAATATTTCAATTGACACTTGGAAGAATGCAGAAGTTCACATGTGACAGAATTATATAGTAACAGCTGACTATATAATTCAGCCACAAAATGGGTATAATTAGTACTCCAAACAAGTCCTAAAAAAGAGGGATGATGGGTCAACTCAATACTACAAACAAAGAAATGGGTTGGACACTTGGCAATCACAAAGATTAGGACAAGAGATGAAGGCCTATTTTGAAGGTAGTGGGCTAATAATCAGTTTGCAAGTGGCAGAAGGAAACAATTCGTGGGTCTAGAAGTTGAACTTCTAGCGCTGGCAATGGGAATTCTTGGATAGATTGTTTCCTAAAATCAAGGAGGGGATTGGCCTAACAAGTTTGACACGTATAAGAACTGCTATAAACTGCCTAACTCGGTTTAGAAGTTCCTATTTTTAAGGGATTTAAAACTAAAAAGTAGTTAAGGAAAGTGGTTCCTAAAATCTAGGGATAATGAGATCATGGTTAGGCAAGCAAGGCAAGCAATCCATTTCAAAAGGAATGAAGCAGCAGCAGTTGAAGGACGTGGTATATATATATATATATATATATATATATATATATATATATATTCAGATAAGTGGTTAAAGAACATGGGACACATGGCAGCAGTGGAAGAAGTTCACAGGTCGTGGGTCTGGAAGTTAGATTTTTGTCGCTGAACATGGGACAAGTGTCTGGTAAAGAAGAAATGGGCAGTTACTTAATAGGACATGGGTCCTTCTTGTAACGCTTGTAATGCCTATAAATAGTGTACTTGGGATTACATTGCAAACTCTCTTAACGACATCAATCAACATTCAATACTTTGTATTTTAATTCAAGCAATTTCAATACAAGTCTTTTCAATTCCTTTACATTCATGCACTTATTTTCAGTATTGCATTTCAATTCACTTGATAGCATTGTAGTCTTAACTAAAAGTCCTTTCATCGAAGGCAAATCCGAAACCTCACAATCGTTTGATCACTTCAAAAGGATCTTCCTTTTCGTTTGACCTCTCTGAATCTTCCGAAATTCTGACACGCCTGCACATTCAAAGTGTCCCAATTTTGTGGAAACACAAGGGTACTATAACAAATTCCAAAACAGAAGCAGAGGGAAGCATCAATGCCTTGCCATTGTTGATAAGACAAAAAAACAAAATAAAAAAATTCCTAATAATTTTTGTTTCTTTCTTATTTTAAATTTGTTATTTTGTAATATTCTTTTGCTACCCACTTAAACCGAGCAATCAAGACTAGATTGACCTTAATAGACCATGTTTGTAAATTATTTCCATATGTATACTGATTTACCTTACCAAAAAAAAAACAAAGACTCCAGGCAATGCATCAATACAATCATAGTAATTATATTCTCAAGTGGAAACTTGGTAATTAATTTACATATATCTTAAATTCCATGAACAGATGATATATGTATTAAAAAATTAATTGATGTTTATGACATGGGGAGCGACCCCTGTTTAATGGAGTATCACCATCCAATGTGTAAAATAAAACTACTACAACAACAGCAACAGAATTTTTTTTTTTAAAAAAAAAAAAAAAAAACTCTTTTCCCAACACACAAAGAATAGGATAATCTAACTATTTTTAAACCTTTGCGATGTAATGGAAATTATTTTTATCTATTCTATTCTTGTTTTGTGATTTATTATTATTATTATTATTATTATTATTTTAAGAATCTAACCATATAAAAGAAAGAACATGTAAAAATTCACCTAAATGAATATATATATAAATCTTAAAAGTAATGAAGCATAAGCTTAAAATATGAATTCGTAAAGCAAGATTTAGTGCAAATGACAAAATCCAATTAACTATGTAAATTAAATTCTTCATGGAAATACTTAGTCTCCGACTTAAAGATCTCTTCCATAGTGTTACTCTCTCTCTCTCTCTCTCTCTCTCTTTCTTTTTTCGGTAATTCTCTCCCTCTCTTGAGAAGAAAATTTTTCTGAGTATCTCCAACGGTTTAAGTCAACCTAATTATTCATGTTTAGCTCTCTTGTTCTCTAATTTTCATCAAAAGCATCATTTTTTTTATTTTTTTTTCATAATAAAAATCTCCTACATTGATCCTCTAGGTAAGTGAAAATTTCATTATAAGTGTTCAGTGGTAAGTGAAGTCTACATCCCATAAAAATTTACCAGCTATTCTATTTTGTGTTATCAACCTACTAAATTAAATAAGTCTTAAATTTATTCAAATTAAGTATTGAATTGAGTTATCAAACAACATAGAAATTACATGTTTTCTTACCGCAGACGTTGTTTCAACTCCAGGAAATCAATCAGGCAAATTATAAACGTGCAATTAGCCATATGTACTAAACTAGTAGTATGAAAAATAATTTTTACAAAAAAAAAATTGTAATATCTCTTCTTTACAATAAAATCATACTCTTAGCATGTGTTCTTAATCTAATATTAAACTGATGATAGCCTCAATATCGGTGCTCTAAAACAGAACTGATGATTGTCTAATGAGTATACTGATATAATTAAATTTGATTATTATCACTATATGATCTTATTCAAACAATAAAAATAAGTCTATTCAACAGAAATAACAGCTACTAACTGAAAATGATCCTTTTACCACAAAAGTGATAGATTTGAAGGAGAACTGTGATGCCATGACTGTCTGCATGCGAAATTTAGACACTTCACATGATCACTAACTGGCAGTAGAGCCCGAGAATATCATTTCTGCTTTTGGTGATGCTCGAGAAAAGAGCATTAATTCTCTTGAAATCCTAAGTCCTTCATTGATATCCACTTTTTTACTAGTCTCAATAATCATCTTTTCAAGGGAAGACGAACATGCAAGTAGAAGCTTTATGAAGAGCAGTTCGGTCTTTGAACCCTTGCTTGAAGATATGTGTACGGTTTGAAGTTTTTTCATGGTATGTTCGTTACAGTCCGGTGCTTCCAGATAATGTATAGCTGATTCCAGAGCATTGTCTTTGTGTTCATCAGCAACCTACAGACAAAAGACAATGAAATTCAAAACTTCGAATTTTTTTAATACAAGAGACAATATATGAGTCTTGATTCGCCTCTCTCTCACCTTGATCTTAAGAATCTCCAAGCTAGGTGAACTTCTAAGCAAGCATAGAGCACACGAAATCTGATCCACACCGTTAAATTCAAAATTATGTAGAACAAGATGCCTCAACTTTTTAGCCGCAGTGGGAAGCCTCTTTGGAACATTACATGCATCCAAATACTTCGGAAGAAAGAAAATATAATTAATAAAATAAGATACGAGCTATACGCATTATTTGACAGGACTCATGAACCAAAGAACATTACTTATATTTCACCTTAAGGAAAAAGCCATCCAAAGTAAGACGACGAATTCTAGGCAAGTAATCAAAAAAGCTGATCAAATTGATGCTCTTCCCCTTCCTGGAATTCTGTACTGGAAAATGCAATTGTTCTTCTTTGCATCGCGAAATAGAGACATCTTTCACCTTCCGAAATGAAAAAACAATAGAGACATCTTTCAAGTTCGCCATGCTTCGAAAGCACATCAATTCAACTCCATGGCAATTCGAGACGTGTAAATCTTTTAGTTTTGGAGCATTTACATTGAAATGGTTAATACCTTTGCAGCTAGAAAGCTTCAGTTGCAGAAGCAATGGGGCTTTAACAACTAGGGTTCCAAATAGAATGGAATCGAATGAGATTTGCTTCATATAAAGGCTAACAAGATTGCGAAAGCCTCCGGAAAGATGCAGTGGCTTAATGACACAGTTGCATAGCGACAGCCTGGTTAATTGTGGACGAGAGAAAAGATAAGAAGGCAGATGATAGGGATTGTGATTTGCATCAAAAAGAATGAGTTCTTTGATACCGTTTCTCGACAAGAATAGTATCCATTGATCAATATCTGGGCTCTGATTAACCCATACCTTCGGGATGTAGAGAACAAATTTTACAATATGGCCACTGTGAACTAAAAGAATTTTATTGATTACATTCAAGAATTCATTTTTTAAGCAAGCTGCATTTTTCCTGGTGTTGATGGTCTCATCAAAAAATTGTTTATCAAACACAAGTTTTGGATGGGAAGCCCAAGTAAACCTCCAATTTCTTGACAAAATACTAGTTCTTGCTGCATCTCTGGTAGGCATGAAATCTAGGATTGAGTGTATTATGTTGTTTGGCAGGCCACTGATCATATCTTCTGTCTCCATTGCTGTTTTAAGAATCCAAACAACCAAACATCACTTAACCCAATGGGAATGAAATTAAATCAAGAGTAATAAAATATCAAAATAGTTTAACTAACTTACAACTTGGTACTTTCTCGTCTTTTAAAGTTGTTGGAAGAGAAAAGGTGACAGTGTGAGTTATCAAGGATAAAAAAGAAAAAAAAAACCCTTACCTGTGATTTCTTTGATCCTTCTGTATCATCATTTTTTTATTTTTTATGTTTTTTGATGAATTTTTTTTATAGAACATCATAGGAGAATATCTAAAGAGGCCTTCTAATTTAGTTAGGTTTGTATTTTGAGGATTCTAATTAAAGTGATATACCATAAATAACTAACTAGGGCTATTGGGTATACTCGTTATATGGTAGGTAGGTAACTACTTACTTACCATATAACAAGTATGGTAAGAATACTTGTTTTATTTATTTATTTAATTTTTTATTATTTTTTTATTATACAGATTGCAATCAAGAGTACTACCCAACACTCGGGTCAAAATCAAGAATGCATATTGCAAGACCTTCTAATTTTATTAGGATGTTTTTAACTGTATGGAATTGAAACTTTGTTATATAATAAGTAATAACTAATATTAGATCTCACCGAAAAGGGACACTAATATGTGCCAAATTTTATTGGATGAATAAGTGGAAAGTTAGAGTTTGGTTTTTATTAATTTATTTTTGATTTTTTTTTATTGTACAGATTGCAAGAAAAGTACTCCTAAAATCAAGGTTACGTACCCCAGACTCTGGTCAAAATCAAGAGTGCATATTACAAGACCTTTTAATTTTATCCGGATTTGTTCAATTGCATAGAATTAAAGCTTGGAATTAAAATTGAAGCTTTGAAATTGCTGGAATGAAAAAAAATTGGAGTTATTTTTCTTAAATTTCACCAATTTTAATTCCATATAACCGAACTACTGATTGTTTTGAAGTTAGACAAATACTTTACCAATATTAATCATTATTAGGTAACAGGTCAAGAAAAAATACAAGAAAGTAGTTCATAACAAAAAGGCATTGCAATTTCAATGGTCACGAGTTCCTTTATACAATTGTTAATATAAAAAATGGGATCATAAGAACAAATTTCAGAATGGGGCCAGAGAAAATTGCTTATCAAGCACAAGTTATGGATGCTTGGTCCATAATTTCAGTAAGGTCTATTATGCCTGCCACTGATCATATCCTCTTTGTGTTAAGTACTATTTAAGCAAACTTCCACACAGACCCATACCTCCACCGAGACTCAAATCCCCCACCGAGATTCGAAGACCTCTCTTTTGAGGTAGATTTGTACTAGATTGGCTATTGCCCATTTGGTAGAGTAAAGAGAACATGAGGACTTGGACTGCGGAGAGGCTTCCATGGCTGAATAACATGATCTCATCAGCAAATATGAGATGTGTTATATACTTGGGGTTAATAATCAAAGACTATTTGTCAAATCTCACCTCAAATAACTTGTAATTAGACACGGGAGTTTTCCTCCATATCTTTACTCGGTTCTAATAAATAAAAATTAGTACTCAAACATTCAACACCAATTGCTTTTGCCACAAATCTCTTCTGGAACCAAAATTACAGATTGATTGGAGTGAAGGCAAGATAGTTCACGAATGAATAAGAGAACAACTTTGAATATGCAAAGTTATGTGAAATTTAGAGAAAATTGGAGGCAGGATGATTATACAGTAAGGAAATCATTAGCAAAAGAAAACTAAAAACATAACGAAACCTACAAGGATAAATTCAACTTATTTTAAGAATTATAAAAAAACAAGAAACTTAATTGTCACGGGCCTAGAGATTTGGCGCAGCGGCACGGCCCGTGCGGCACCAAGGCGTTGCTTCAGCTCGCGCAAGTGTTCTGATCAGCCACCACGACCTGCCCTCCCAAGGATACATGCTGACTGGTTTCGACCTGCCTTAGTCTCATTAGGGGAACAGCTCCAGCTCCCGACCAGTTTGTGCAGGGATGGCCAACTCCCTTCTTCATAGTCAAGTCCACGACCAGCAACAAGCTCCTCGCACTCAACCGAGTCGACCTGCCTGAATTCTGAAGAGGTACCATCCTGTGCTCCTGCATGCCCCTTCCCTGGAACCATTTCCAATCAAACTCTGCTCTTTGCCAACCAGCATGCATGTCTTCCATCCTCCAAGCGTCTTAAGAATCATTTCGTGACACTCTCCCCCACCCAAATCCTGCGACGCCCTTGTCGCAGTGCGGCGCTTCACTAATGCGTCCACTCCCTTCTAAAGTCTGCCTCCATGCGATATGCTCGTTTTCCCACCATCGCTTCCTTGTGCAGCTCCCTGCATTGCACTCGCCCAATGATAGGCCTCGGACCAAGGGGACGTCCACTCCTCAAGAACGTGACTCTTCTCCGTCATGCCTCCTCCGCGACATCCCGAGCAAGCAAGGCCCTCCTGTTAACTTGATGCTCGCCCTTCACCATGGTTTGCATCACCCAAGGACTAAGCACGAACTTTGGTGCGCGTGGCCCTCCGGTGTGCAACTTCAACGGACGCCTCTTCCTAGGGAGATGGAGGCTCCCCCCTAACTGCATTGATTCCTCCTTATCGACGCAACTGCATTGCACCGTCTTCATTCTCTGACCCCTCCCGGACCGACAAGGGGGCACCCCACCGTGCTTTACCCCAAGTCCTACTCTGATACCATTTGTCACGGGCCTAGAGATTTGGCGCAGCGGCACGGCCTGTGCGGCACAAAGGCGTTACTTCAGCTCGCGCAAGCGCCCTGGTCAGCCACCATGACCTACCCTCCCAAGGATACATGCTGACTGGTTTCGACCTGCTTGGTCTCATCAGGGGAACGGCTCCAGCTTCGGACCAGTTTGTGCAGAGATGGCCAACTCCTTTCTTCATAGTCAAGTCCACGACCAGCGACAAGCTCCTCGCACTCAACCGAGTCGACCTGTTTGAACTCTAAAGAGGTACCATCCTGTACTCCTACACGCCCCTTCCCTGGAACCATTCCCAGTCAAATTCTGCTTTTTCCCAACCAGCATGCATGTCTTCCATCCTCCAAGCGTCTTAGGAATCACTTCGTGACACTCTCCCCCACCCAAATCCAGCGAAGCCCTCGTCACAGTGTGGCGCTTCACTACTACATCCACTCCCTTCCAAAGTCTGCCTCTATGCGGTATGCTCGCCTTCCCACCATCGCTTCCTTGTGCAGCTCCCTGCACTGCACTCACCCAATGATAGGCCTCGGACCAAGAAGACGTCCACCCCTCAAGGACGTGACTCTTCTCTATCATGCCGACTCCGCGACATCCCGAGTAAGCAAGGGCCTCCTGCCAACTTGATGCTCGCCCTTCACCATGGTTTGCATCACCCAAGGACTAAGCACGAACTTTGGTGCGCGCGGCCCTCTGGCCCTCTAGTGCGCAACTTCAACGGACGCCTCTTCCTAGGGAGATAGAGGCTCTCCTCCCAACTGCATTGATTCTTCCTCATCGATGCAACTGCATTGCACCGTCTTCATTCTCTGACCCCTCCCGGACCGACAAGGGGGCACCCCACTGTGCTTTATCCCAAGTCCTGCTCTGATATCATTTGTTACGGGCCTAGAGATTTGGCGCAACGGCACGGCCCGTGCGGCACTAAGGCGTTGCTTCAGCTCGCGCAAGCGCCCTGGTCAGCCACCACGACCTGCCCTCCCAATGATACATGCTGACTGGTTTCGACCTACCTTGGTCTCATCAGGGGAACGGCTCCAGCTCTCGACTAGTTTGTGCAGGGATGGCCAACTCCTTTCTTCATAGTCAAGTCCATGACCAGCGACAAGCTCCTCGCACTCAACCGAGTCGACCTGCCTGAACTCTGAAGGGGTACCATCTTGTGCTCCTACACGCCCCTTCCCTGGAACCATTCCCAGTCAAACTCTGCTCTTTGCCAACCAGCATGCATGTCTTCCATCCTCCAAGCATCTTAGGAATCACTTCGTGACACTCTCCCCCACCCAAATCCTGCGACGCCCTCGTCGTAGTGCGGCGCTTCACTACTGCATCCACTCTGATATTAAAATTGATGACGAGGATCAATCCCTTATTTTGTTGTGTTATTTGCCTCCTTCCTATGAGCATTTTGTTACCACATTGCTCTATGAAAAATACACTATTAGTATGGAGGATATTAAATCCTCATTAAACTCTCAGGAGTTGAGGGAAAAGGTGTCCGGGAATATTGAAGATGAACAGGCCGATGGTCTATTTGCAAGAGGCAAAAGTGAGATAAATGATTCTGGTAGTAGGGGCAAATATAGATCTCATAAAAATGTGGAATGTTACTACTGTTACGAGATAGGGCACATCATCAAGCATTGTCCCAAACTAAAGGCAAAGAATGGGAATGTCAAAGAGAAGGTTCAAGAAATAGCTTCTGTGGCAACTGCTACAACGAGTGATTCGGAAAGTGACAATTATATTCTCATGACAACCTTGTGTTTAGGTATATCATTTAATGACAGTTGGATTCTTGATTCTGGTTGTTCCGTTCATATATGTCCCAGTAGGGATTCTTTCTCTTCTTATAAAGAGGTGAAAGGTGGTTCGATTTTGACGGCGGACATGAAAGCTTTCAAAATTTTGGGAATTGGAACAGTCAAGATCAAGACGCACAATGGGTTGGTAAGAACATTGTCAAATGTGCGACATGTACCGGATCTGAAGATGAATCTTATTTCAGTAGGTGTGCTAGACTCCAAAGGTTACAAGGTTGTAACAGAAGGTGGAGCAATAATGGTCGTGATGAATTCTCTTGTGGTGCTACAGGGCACCAAGGTGAAAATTTTATATCTTCTCCAAAGGAATACAGTAACAGGTGGAGTTTCTACAGGGTCTTCTACAATTAGCAGAAATTTGCATTCGGGTCTTGGCAAAAGAAGTGTTCAAAAGAGGAGTTACGATCCTAATTCTCAAAAGGGTTGTGAGGGGATTACACAATGTGGTGGGAGAATGAAATCCGTTTTCAGATGGCAACCGAAATTACAACAGTCCTTATAGGGAGGCAGACCCATGAGGACAGGTGTGATATTGACTTGCAATAATCTTGGTGGCAATGAGATAGTCCATTCGAGTGACATTAAGATGCGTGGGAGGCAAGTAGTTGGTCACAACAGAGATGCGAAGAAAAGTCAAGGACGTCCTGCTTTCCACAATGGTGAGAAGATGACTTTTCATTACCAGCCGGTGGTTTATGGGCAGTTGGAGAAGGTTGTTGAAGGAGATGTCAAACTTGGAATTTCTGACATTGCTTTTGGAAATCATTTAGAGTTTGCCACAAATACTGGAGGTATGTTTGTGGCTGCGCAAGACATACATAGGTTGAAGAATGAGAGCCCGAGGGTTAAGTTTGAGGATAACTCAAGCTTAACTAAAATTCTTAATTAATTTGTTTTGTGGAGAAGACGGGTTGTTTGGCAGAGATACAGTGGCTCATACAGAATTTTCGCTAAGGTGGAGATTTATTAAATATATGGCTCAAATTAAGGTTGCATACTTCAGTTGGGGACCACCAATTTGTGTGATTAGCAAGTATTTTTCATCACCACTTACATCAGCTTCTTGGCAGCCAAGTTTTTGTAATCAACAAGCTATGTAGGCGTGGTCAGCAAGCTGTTTTTTAGTGTCGGCCCATGTGTGATCAGCAAGGCTTACGCTTGATCAGCAAGCATAAGTTGATTTTGTTTGGCTATAAATAGCCATGCCTCTCCATGTTGTTTGATCATTCCAAATCAATTGAGTGAGTTTGTAATATCAGGTAGTGGGTGAGAGAGTTTGGGTGTAATTAGTTTTGGGTATAAGCCACTTTGCCTTGTTTCTCTTTATTTCCACAGTGAAATATTGTTCTGTCTTCTTCCCGTGGATGTAGGCATAGCCGAACCATGTAAATTCTTGTCTCGTTTGTGTGTGTGCTTATTTATTTTCTTGTCATTTATTTTTCTCTTGTTCTCATAAACTCCTATTCGATCCTTATTTCATAACACTAATTAATAAAAACTTGAAAATACCAAAAATCACAATAATTTAAGCCAATAAAAATGTAATGCATCAATAGTAGTGTATTAGGATAACAGATTGCCAACTAATTGGCTCTTCAGTCCACCCACATCATTTCTGCTCTTGATGATGCTCGAGAGAAACACATCAATTCTCTTGTAATCTTAAACTTATCATTAGCATCTAATTTTCCAGTAACCTCAATTATCATTTTTTCAAGCGAAGGCGAACGGGCAAGTAGAAGCTTTATAAAGAGCAATTCACCACTCAAATTCTTACTAAGACCTATTCTTACAGTTCGAAGTTGATCCAATGTCTTGTCCATGCAGTCTGGTGCTGTCAGATAATCAAAAACTAGACCCAGATCATCGGTTTTAACAGTAACTGCAACACCCTATAAAAAAAAAGGGAGAAATATATATATATATATATATACACACACATATATATTTGGGATTAAGTTAGTTTTATTAATTAAACAATAATACAATAATTTGAGATTATAAATATGAATAACAATATATCACTTAGATTAGCTTGTCTCACCCTTAAAATTTCAAGTATCTGCAAATTTGGGGAACTTCTAATGAAGCAAAGAAGGCATGAAATCTGATCCACGTCATTAAATCCCAAATTATGTAACTGAATATGCTTCAGCTGGTTAAACATAATTGGAAACCTCCTTAGTACCATACCTGCTGCCAAAAACTTTTAAGAAAACAGCAAAAAGATTAAGATAAGACAATCTTTTCTTCTGGCTATCTAAGAACATGTAGATATGTGTATTTATATTGCTAGCTAGCTGAACCAAATAGCATTGAACATGCAACTCACCTTCACGAAAAATGCATCGAAAGTAAGCTTCTGAATTTTAGGCAAATCGCCAAAAATGTTGGTCATATCAATGCTTCCCAACCCCAATCGACTTTCTAATTCTTTGCACAGTTCTATACGGATCACTGTCAGGTTTGGAATTCTCTTCAAGCATATTGATTCAACTTCCAGGCTGTCTAACACATGCAAAACTTCGAGTTTTGGAGTTTGCATATTAACATTGCCAATACCATTGCATGTCTCCAAGGCCAAAAACTGGAGCAGTGGGGCACTAACTACAACCTTTCCAAAGGGACGATTATCAGAAAATATGATTCTGTTTAGATAAAGGCTAATTAGATGGCCAAAAACTACGGTGGGTCGTGGTGACTTGAAGACACAGTAACATAGCCTCAAATGAGTCAATTTCAAACAAGAAAACAAATGAGGCGGCAGTTCATAGGGCACATCATCTTCATTCTCAAGGGTGAGTTGTTTGATACCATTCCATGACAACAAAACTATGCAATTATCAATACATCTTCTCTGATTAGGATAATGTAAGATTGGAATGTAGAGGCTAAATTTAAGAATGGGACCACGGCGAAGTTGGAGAATTTCATTAATCAAGCATACGAATTTATAGCTTCTTCTAGTCGCGGCTAACATGTTACTGGTTTTAAATTTGTCGTCATAGAATTGCTTATCAAGCACTAAATTTGTATGGGACTTCCAAGTATACCTCCACTTTGTTGACAAGATACTAGTCCTTGCTGCATCTCTAACCGGCATTCCGTCTAGGATTGAGTCTATTATGTTTCTTGGCAGGCCACTGATTACATCCTCTTTGTCACTTTTTTCAGCCTTCCTTCTCTGACTATACGACATTGTGGTTCTGAAAATCAAAACAATGATGGAACAAAAATTCAGTAACAGACCTCACTGGTTTTGCATGTTCCTTAAATTATGTTATTACTATATCTTTTACTGCAACAATCTTCATACACACGCAAATATGCATTCGTCTTTGCTTTAAGTTTCCAAACATTTCAAAAATCATTTCAACTTCACGGAAACAAAACCTACAAAATTATAAACAGCCAGTTGAGCGATTTCTGATCCCATTAGACCACTTTTTCAGCATTTTCTCTCCCAGCTGCTCAGAAACTTGGGGGCATGATTGATTTAGTTTTCTAGATAACTGAAAATTAAAATTGTACAAAACAACAGTTCCTTAGAAATTATTTATTTATTTTTTTTTCCAAAAAAAAAATAATAATAATTGTCTCTTTCACAAAATTGTCTTTTTATAATTATGTGAAAAGAGTATTCTATTTTCTGACCGATAGGCCCTTTATATTATGCTTCCAAAAAAAAAAATAATAATTGTCTCTTTCACAAAATTGTCTTTTTATAATTATGTGAAAAGAGTATTCTATTTTCTGACCGATAGGCCCTTTATATTATGCTTCCAAAAAAAATATAAAAAGCCTCGGGTTTCCAACTTCAAAATAATTGGTGATTTTTAATTTTATATATATATTTTTACCCACAAATTCTAACAACTCAGATTTCATTCTCTTGCAAAAAGAAGAAAAGAAGGTCAAAGGAAAATCAGAGAAAACAGAGCAAGAAGAAGGTAAAAGGCAAAACATAGAAGAAAATTTGATCTTTGTTAGGGGAGAAAACAATTTGAGGGGAAAGATGGGATATAAAAATAAAAATAAAAAACCATTTCTTAGAAAAATATAAAAAATCTCTGAAAATGAGTATTGTTTTAACTGAATTTTCATAAAACATTCCTCAACAAAAATTAATTTTAAAAAACTGTAATTAGAGTGCATCAACAAGCAGGCCCTAAACTTTTTGATAAGGAGAAGAAATAGGAGAACAGAAAGAGAGGGGACACTTCGGAGACTTACTTGGAGATGATCGACCTAGGGTTTCATCGATAGATAGATCCCGGCTTGTGAGGCAGGGCTCTCTCTCTTCGTTCTTTCGCTTTCTTTGTTTAGTGTTGTTGATATTTATTAATTACTACAAACTCGTATCTTTTGAGAATGTTAAACGGCCCACTATGGTCATAAAGGGTTCCTTTGTTTGGATGTATTTTTTATTATTATTTTTTTTTCTATATTTTGGTGTTTGATTATTATAAAATATTTACAAAAAATATATATATATATATATTAAAATTTAATAAAATTTTTTGTTATTTTATAGGTCTAGTTCGAAGAAGTCTCCTCATGTTTTTGCCCTCTCATTAGACCTTAATCTCGACTTACTTTTTTTGTCAAACACTACAAAATACAAATAAAAAAATATTTTATCTAAAAAATAAAAATAATTTTTGAAAAAAATATTTTATGTGAAAACAAAAGAGTCAAAATGTCAAAAAAAAAAAAAAAAAAAAAATGTAAATTTTGATTTTCCTAAGTTATGGCCTTATTAAACATGAATGATGCTTTGAGAAAAAGTTAATTATTATAGTTTGATAATTACTCCATCCGTCCCACAAAGAGTGTCATGTATTTGTGAGTCATAGTTCCCAATACATGACATTCTTTGTAGGACGGTTGTGAGTCATAGTTTCTAATACATGACATTTTTTGTAAGATAGAGGGAGTAATATCTATATGTATTGTTACCTGATTCTACACTAGCAGAACATACACCCATTTGAGCCCAACTTTGGAATTAAATATTTATATATTTTTATGTTATAAAAATTATTTATTGTAAGAATTTAGAGGCCAATTTTGTTTACGTTTTGGAATTTGTTTCCACACTTTTTCTAGTCTTTTAATTGTATTCTAAACCCTCTTTTCAACATCAGGCGTTCCTTAATGCATTATTAATAGCGGGTGTAGGTGCAAAAATACGTTTGACCAAAAACAATTTAAAAAAACCTCACAACACGGTTACGACTCTTATTGCTTGTCCACCAAATTATTACTATATGGTAGCTACTTCCTTGCCTTACAGGAAATACAATCAAAAAAAAATTGCAGCTTCATACTACTCGATAGTATTAAGTGGGCCAGACCTCCATTTGACAACTGATTGGCACACTAATTGCAGCTTTCTGGGTTCTTATCAAATTGGGCTTCAATATTGGGCCTTGACAGACGTCCATGACTTCCTATTTGCCTGGCCATACAGCTTATTTGACGTGGCGCTCTATTATTGAAGAATATTTTTTCCCTATCAATAGAGCTCGAGGAATCCAGGGGCGTTGGCTGCAAAAATCATTATCCTAAAATCAGATGCTAAAGAGTACTACTCCTTCCGTCCCATATTAATTATCTCTATAAAAAAATTTAACTCACTACTATCATTTATCTTTAAGTAAGTTTTTAAAGTCCATAATTAGTATGGGACGGAGGTAATACTTAACATGGCCACTATTAAATTTCTGTGTTTTTTTTTTCTTTGTTAAACTATATTCCTCACCTTAGTTACACAATTCGTTCAAAGTGGTCCCGCTCTCAAGCTCCACATGCGGATTTGCTATTTGGGAGCGAATTCGCACAAAATCCGTAAATTCAATTTTTGCAATTCGCGAATTTGTTGACGTGCCACACATATAAATTGGCATTATTATACTATCATATATATATACACACACACACTTAATGTTTGAAAATATACAACTAAAATACTTCCCAATCAAAAAATATTACAAATTTTTGCAAAATAACAAATTCATGATTTTCATACAAATTCACTTTATATAGCTTTGTTACCGTCCCAGTGATGTGGAACACTTATATTATTATATATACATTTATTACTTATACTATTACTCAATATCTAGATTAATTTACTTACAGTGCACGTATGCCCCAGCTGTATTGGCACTGATATACTACCATGTATATATTAATCCTTGAAAATATCCAATCGGAGAATATTACAAATAAATCATTAACTTATTTATTGCATATATATTATTAATGGAATACATAATAATGAATATATTTGCATATGAATTTAAATAAATAAAAAAAATACAGATATATATATATATATATATAGATATATATCATGACCTTTTATAATTTTATTTAAACCTAATATACAGACGCTCAAGCTTTTGCTCCCACACTCGCTCTATATGACTCACCCTTGCAATTTGGGGACGAATATTATTTTCGTTTTACTTTTAATAAATCAATTCCTCTAATTTCATGGACAGTGAAATGTGATTTTTCAGTCAGTTTTCTTTTGGAATCTGAATGAAAAAAGTACAGGAAATACAAGCAAAAAAACCTTCATTGATCTTGGAGGTAAAATTGGGGAAAGAATCAGGCATAATTTAGGTGGTAGAAGAACAACATTATACGTTATTTCAAATGTTATGAAGTGATTTTGTAAGAAGACCTATACAAAATCATTTTTGTGCTAGATAATTTGCATCCCTGACCCAAATGCTGAAGATAGTCAGGCATTTAAATCCATTATCTTTACATGTTTTAGAACTTTCTTCAAACATATCATGTGGATTATTTCCTCTAAACAACTAGCCTCCTAAAATGAGCAAAAAATAACTAGCATTTACTAAATTTAGGGTAAAATACACCATTGATACATTCTTCCACCCCTTCTCTTATCTTAGAATCTATCCCACAAAATCCATTTCCATAACACAGCATAAATTTGCTTTAAAGGCCTGTAGAAATTGAATTATTGCTCTTAACAAGTAAAAGATTGTTGGCATCACGTAATCAGTCACCAAGGTTTCGAGTTTCCTGCAAGTTTCAAGAACTACCAAATGAAGCAAAAAAGTGCATGAATTAAGGTCTGAGATAAAATATATCATGGAAACCCTTCAGGAGACACCACATACAGGGAAGAACGGTAAAGGAATGGTACACATAAGGAGCATGGATCACTAAACATAGAAATTGAAGTTCCTCAATAATATGGCTTCGTAAAAATCAACCTACTTCTCATCTCACCTCTGAAAATGATCTCCCTTAACGAAAGATTCTAAATTTGAGGGAAATAAGCAATTAAGTACCTGGATCGCCTTGGAAGAAGTGATCTGTATCAGCACCACGTAAAATAATACATGGTAAAGAAAAGGTACATTTCGACCAAGAAGAAGAACCCATACTAAAAAAATAAACATGTTTGGGGATCCAAATACAAGTTTTTAACAGGAACCAGACGGAATGGTCTTTATATTCAAAAAGCTGATAATCAAACATGACTACATGAGTCTTTTAAGTGTACATATCCTAGTTGGACTTTCACTTTATACAACACTCGTCCTCAACACATCTCGTCCTTGCCTAAACTCTAAAATATACTCTAAGAGTACACTGAAAAAAAAAAAAAAGAAAAAAAAAAGGGCATCAATCCTATGATTCCTATCTTAGTATGAACTGTTCCATACTGGAGCAGGAACTGTTCCATAGAGGACAGATAATTCATGTCGGATAATGAAGAACCACAAAATAGATCAAGTAACACTAAAATAAGAACCACAAAATGGATCGACACTAACAAAGTTAACTGTTGCAGTTAACTGACCTGGTGATTTAACATTCCATTTATTGGAAAAACAAGACACATTCAAACCCCAGCCCATAATTGAAAGCCTAAAGCTCTCGTAGGAAAATTTCTTCCAATTCCAATTTGATCACAAAAATAACTGTGTTCTTTCATTTTCATTCTTCAATCTTTGTTTTTTCTTAAATCAGTTCAGGTCTTGCATATCTAACATGTACCACTGAAGTTTTCTTAACATTTGCATTTCCAGTAATACTTTGCAAAAGGAAATAACCTGCAAAAAGATGAGAAAGAGGAATGCAGGAGGAACTCTTTGCCACCCTAGTCATGAATCAGAAAAATAAAAAATGTCACTGGACTAACTGCCACAACATAACAAAGAAAAGAAGACCAGGATCCACTAATAGGAACAAATAAAGTTGTCGATACCAATTGTACCTCAAGTACTAGTTCACACAGACTCTTAGAGAAAATCAAGAAGGGGAAGATGGGAGAAAAACTATATTAGGTTGTTTGCTTGTTAACCCAAAAGACTATAGCTGGACTAACTCACAATGGATTCCTCGAACATTAATTCTGCTTTTGGTGAAGCTCGAGGATACTGCATCAACTCTTTTGAGATCCGAAATCCTTCACTTACATCAATGACTTCATGCTTGACATACATTTTCTCAAGCAATAGGCAATGGGCAAGTAAAAACTTCATGAAAATCAGTCCGGCCCTCCAACAATACTTGTGAAGGCTAATCTTCACAATTCGAAGTGTGTTCTGTTTCAGGTCCATGCAATCAGGTTCTTCCAAAAAATTGGAAATCGGTTCCACAACAGTCTCTTCCTTTGGGGCATAGGCCTATAGAAGACAATGAAATGAAAAACCAGTTTCTTCAACAATTATTTAGTAAAGGACAATTGGCTATGTATCTTAGTTCACTAGTCCCACCTTAATCTCAAGGCTCCACAAGTTAGTAACGCTTTTAAGCAAGCAAAGAGTGCACGAAATCTGATCTAAATCATTGAAATTTTTGTTATGTAAAGTTAAATACATCCAGTGCTTAACTGTTGGAAGCCTCTTTGTGACAGTAACTGCAGCTAAAACCTTTGCAACAAAACAGCTAGAAATAAGACACAAGAAATATGATTAAATCTTATACAACTAAACCAAATAACAGGATTAAATGTACACTTACCTTGAGAAGAAAGCCATCCAATTGTAGTGCCTCAACTCTAGGCAAACTACCTACAAGCTCAATCAAATTGGTGGTTTTAACCCACTGGGGGTTATTAACTTTATATTGTGGAGCAATAGTGACATTAGTAAGATTTAGGGTGTTTCTAAAAACGATTGACTTAAATCCAGAAATACATGAAATAAACAGAAGCTGTAGTTCTCGAGCACGGATATTAAAATGGTCAATACCAGTGCAACTTATTAAATAAAGTTTCTCAAGTAAAGGGGCGCTGGAGAATAGAGTTCCAAGTATATTGGTGGAAAAGCTGATTTCCTTAAAATGGAGGCTAATAAGATTACGAAAGCATTTCATTGTATGTGGTGGCTTGATTATGCAATTATGGAGCTTCAAATATGTCAGTTCTGGACAAGAAAAAATACCAGAAGGCAATTTATAAGGATGGGAATTTTCATTATCAAATGTGAGTTCCTTGATACTCCTTGAAAGGACTAGTATCGAATGGTCAAAGTCTGGGCTCTCATCAGCATAGATATTTGGAATGTAAAGAACAAATTTCAGAATGGAGAACCTGTGAGTGTGAAGTAAGAGAATTTTATTGACTATGCTCTCAAATTTGTCTTTGGTATAATGTTTCTTTTTTATGGTCTCTTCATAGAAGAGGTTGTCGAGCACTAGTTGTGGATTTTCCATCCAAATATACCTCCACTTGCTTGACAAAATACTTGTTCTTGCTGCATCTCGAAGAGGCATGCTATCTAGGATACAATCTATTACGTTTCGCGGTAGGTCACTCAAGATATCCTCTGTGCCATCCATAGCCTTCCTCTTAGGACCAACTGACATTGTTTTTCTGATTTCAAACAGGGAAACACTTAGCTCAAAGGGAATGACACTTTAACAGAGACAGAAAATAATCTAATTCATTCAGGGAATATATATATATATATATATATAACTACTGGCTTTCTTAATTTGGTCCCTTATTACAACTTTCTTCCACCAACTTTGGCTAGAAAGGAATGTATAGAAGCAATATTTGTTGCAAAAACATTTTATAGGGTTCTGTTTGTGTTCAAATTTCCCTCAACACATGTTCCATGTAGCTTCTGCGCTTCTTAGGAATAACCATCTCTAAAAGTATTGAAGTGTGACAGACACAACCCCTCAAGTATTCAACTTTTCTTCTCTTTTCTTATTTATTTTTTCTCTCTGTTTTCATTTTTATAAACAAAGAAAGGAATTGACACCATAGACACGAGTCACATGACTATGACAAGTCAAGCTTTAATCGAACCACTTCTATACAGAAAATTTATTGCGTGTGTGTGTACTTATGAAGAAATATAGAGTAAAAGAGTATTAGATGTAAACATAATTAAGTCTATAATACTTAGCCTCGTTTTATATAAAGTGCAATTGTTAGTTAAAAAATGTATCATGCGTCCATGCCTATGCTATTTAGAGTATTCTAGTCAAAGTATTTATTTCTGAAATTTTTTATAAAAATATAAATAATAAAATGGATGAGGATGCGAGCACCTGTGTTGTTTAAATAATAGAATACAGTTTTTAGAATTACTTGTTTTTCTTTTCAAGAAATATGACATTTAACTTTGGTGTAGCCTGGTAGGACCAAACTCTATAACTGGAAGGAAGAAAAAAACTACAAGAATCAATAACTACATATATTAGTCACATCTTCATTTCATAAGAAGTTTGTCATTTTTTTTTTCGAACTATATATATATATATATATATATATATATATATATTGTCAGTTTTTAATAAAGAGACCAATATATATAACTCAAAGAACATGTAAGTTTACATTGGGCATTTCTCAAAAATCTCAAAAATATTATGAATATATATTTTGATAAATATTTATAAAATGTTTTAATTTGCATTGTAAGATTAAATATAATTCCCCAAAATTAATTATATAATTTAAATGCTGTAAAAATTGCTTCTTAGTTCTAGAACTAAAGAAGAGACGCAAGGGTTGTAATGTTCAACAATTTTCTTTAGCTTACACATACAAATTCTTTTGCCACACAATGTTCAAAAAAGAAAGGAGTGAAAATGCATGACAATGTCATAATTGATTCAAACTCTATAAAAATTCAACGTAACAAATGTCAAATTTAGCAGATTGTATAGCTAAACAAAGTACGAACTGCCAAATCCAATTTGTTTTTTCACATCAATTGGACAAAAAAAATTAAAAAACTACCTCCATGAAAGAAGTTATTTTCCAAATGAATAAGATCCAACAAGAAAACTTATGTGTGTGTGTGTATATATATATTAATATCTCATCGAGAAATAAAAGCATAACTAAGAAGTAATGTCACGGTGAATATTATAAGACATAGGAATACCATGAGAGTACACAGTAAAGCAAATACATTCTTGCGATAATTCTAATTTTCAGCATTTTAGAATTTTCTGAAAATTCGTTAATGCAAGGGCATTTTTGTCTTTTCACTTTACCATCCGGGTTTGTGGTTGGGTCCAGTTACATTTCCTACATTTTAATTTATGTGGTGATGTAGCATTTGTATGGTGCAATTGTCTATTTGTGGTGTAATTAGAGACAAAAAAATAAAGAGAAAAGGAAAATAATTTCAAGTGGGACCCACCACTAACTTATTTGGCCAAGAAATCTTCTTTTCTTTCTCATTTTCTTTCTCTTTCCCGTATGCTCTCTCTCCCTCTCGGTTCCTTCTCTTTTTCTTTCATTTTGGAGACAAAAACTTTGAGGTTTGATTACTCAATCATCTTTCATCGGATTTAGGAACCGTTTGAGGCGAAACGAAGCTTGTAGTGAGCTCTACGCATCCATACTATCAATTTCCAGATTTGAGTCTTCCTTGGAGCTCGAATTTGGAGGACCTATTCTAGGGATTTCGGCTTGGATTGTGAGGTAGGGACATCTTAAGCCATGAAATCTTGCTCTATAATGAATCATGCTCCTCTATGTGTGTTATAGCATGTTTAATTGTTGTTGATTTTGATTAAAATGATTTAATTGACAACATGCTAGTTATGTAAATGTGTATAACATGGTTAAATGAAAAGTATGTCTATGTGATGGTTGTTTACATTTTTTTTTGAGGTTACTAACATGCTATAATGATGCCATGAGAACATGCTTATTTATTATTATGCTAAGTTCCCATTTGTCATTATATTGAGATCATGACATGAGCCTACATCTCATTGGGTTGCATGAAAAAGGGAAGTGGTTGTCTTGAAATGAAAATGGGGATTTGGGAATGAATGTTTTGGGAAAAAAATTGGTTTTGACAAACCCGGTCGCTGCGGAGTTACCAACGGGCCGGAGGTTAATGTAGCCTAGGGAGGACTAGGGAGAGTACCCTAGCGTGGTTGAGCTATTCGGGCCCCTCGACGGCGCCACGGGGTCCCCAAGGGCCTAGGGACGGTAGCCAATCCTCCTCTCGTCGCGGTGGGTTTACCAAAGGGGGTTACATTAACTTTGAACGTGATGGTTTTGAGAATGAAAACGGGGAGTGACTTTAGCATGCATTGCATCTCACTCCATTTGCATTTGTGTGTGATTGAATTTGACTTGTATTTGTAATTATTTTTCCCCTTCAATGCATGTCCCCAATCTCCCATTGGCCCATGCTTTATTTGGATTCACTAGGACACAAGAATTGTGTCTTAAGTGTCACCTACTGAGCTATATACTCACCCCTATATCTATATATATTTTTTTCAGGTCTTGGAAAGGAACTGGTGGATGACAACCCACCTCAAGCTTGAACGGCGTCAGAAGTCCATTTTTGTATCTTTGTATATTCCCCATTATTTTGTAAAACACTAGAAGTGCAAAGATGTATAATTATTTTGTGGAACTTTGTCATGTAATATAACTAAAGTATTGATGATGTTTTGGATGGGGATTTGATAGTATGCAACTTGTTGATGAATGGATGGATAATCCTAGTTTGAAGCATTGTCTAGATTAGTTGGTTGTATCATTATCTTTTGTTGCCGTAAATTCGGAATTTGAGCCATGACAGGTTAAAAATGCAATTAAACAGGTTGTGATAGGCCTATTTTTAGGGGAGGTCATGCCAAATTTTTTTTTGTTTAAAAAGTATTAGTTTTGAGTCGTTACAATTATTTTCAGTAATTGTAAATTTATTGAAGAAGAAGGGAAAGCAATATACAAGGCTAAAAAAACTAATCAGCCCAAAGAAATAAAAAACCAAAAACATTAGTCATGCATGCTAGGGTTTGACAGCATATGTGCAGTCACTCACAAATCACACATATCATTTAACGTCCACAGTATAGTCACGAGACCTCTTAGCCACTGGATTACCAGAACAAGTTTAATAATGATATATGTTATTTGAGTAAATAAATAATTATATATGTTGTGATAGATAAAATCAAGAAGACAAGCCTAAAATTCAATGAGAGATGCCGAAAATTGACATGGACAACAAATGAATTGTTTAAATTCAACTCAAAAAGTACCTGGAAGTTTTCTTTCTTTTCATCTTCTACGTTGAACACTGAGGAAAAATTATTCCCAGAGGATTGATTGAAAGGGTTTAAACTAGGGTTTTTACCCCTGCAGTGCGAGAGGTTTCACCGATAAAGCAACCTAAGGAGGCACAGACGATGGATCACAGCTCTTGGAGCGACCGACCCAAACCGAATAGGTGGTGGTCACTTTTTTTTAAAAAATCAAATCGACAAATTATTGATTTGTAGTTTATCAAATAATCAATTTGAAAGTTTTTTTGTCATTTAAAAAATTATTATTATTTATTTGTAAAGTTAGAGTTAAAATTGTCATTTTTTTTTTAAGATTGTAGTACAAATATTAAAAAATAGAGTGAAAATATCACGTCCTTACAAATAATATCTATTGTATTATTGGTGTATATTTGATGAAAATATAACCAAAATATTGGTTTAAGAACACTTAATTATCTACTTACCCGAAAAACTCTTAATTATCTGATTTTTTTTTTTCTTTTTATTATTCTTCTTCTTCCCCCCATGGTTTGTTTATTTCTTATTTTTCTTATTTTATTTTATTTTATTTTTCACTTTTTAATTATTTTTAACAAATAGTCAAATGTTTTACTATATTTATTTATCTTTTCTTTAATCCATATTTATATTTTAACAAGGAGGTGATAATCGCACTCCACTTTTCAACGTTTGTACTGCAATCTTAAATGAAATGACAATTAGAAGTGTAACTTTACAAGTAAATAATTATTACTTTTTAAATGACAAAATTGTCCTTTTAAATTTATTCTCTTTATCTCTAATCTTTCTTATTTTAGTTCTCTTTTAACAAGACAAAAAATAAATTGAATAATTGAATATATATATATATATATTTACGAGACCAAGAAATAAAAATTTATATGAATAAATTGACTATTTTGACCGGACCAAAAAAATAAAAATTAACCATTAAAAAAATTATCTCTTTTGATATGAAAAAAAACCCCGAAAAAAAATATTTATTAAAGAAATTATATTTTTTGTCAACATCCCAAAAAGAAAAAAAAAGAAAAAAGTATGAAAAGAAGAGGATTATATATATATATATATAGATATATATAATCTAAATTGAATAAATTATCTCTTTTGATAAGACTCTAAAAAAAAAAAGTTATTTTTGTCTAATAAATTATTTCTTTTGACAGGACCCATAAAAAATTATCAAAAAAAAAAGTTACATCTTTTGACTGAAAAAAACTTAACTTTGTTAATATCACTTTCAATTGTACTAAAAAAAAAAAAAAAAAGGTCATTATGGAATAAATTATTTCTTTTGACCATCA